TCTGGACCAGTTGAAGCTTCCGGGTGCTCTTCAAGGGCAGCCCCATGTAGAGAGCGTTACAGTAATCCAGGCGAGAAAGAATGAGGGCATAAATGAAATATTCTTTTAGTCTGCATGCACAAAACAAAAAGAAAATAAAGGGTGAGAGACACATTGGGCTTGTGACTATGAAAATGGCCTGTTTGCTCTCCAGTCCTAATGATTATGACTCAATATTGTGCAACTTTACCGAGGATCAAATGCCAATGACTCTGCAATTAACTTGACTGAGAAGTTGATTATGCTGAAAACTCCTATGATGATAATGACTTTGCATTCCTTAATTGTGCCTTTCATGCCAGAGCACTTCATACATTGACAGGAAAAAAGCATTTAAGAGAAATAATTTCAGGTATACCGAAGCTGGAAGCACTTTGTCTAATGAAAAGGGAAAAAAATCAACTCCTCAATTTAACATCATCTTTCTCAAGTGCATGACAGGTTTCTCCATGAAGGTATAAGCAATTGCTGAATTTGTTTCATGAATTTTCAGGATGATATGGGCATGGCACCAGCATTGCCCTGTGGCCTTTGATTATGAGGCTTCCATAGTATTGTGTAATCATTTAGGATCTGGCATCTGTTGTGAAAGAGGTATTGTGGCTTCACTCTTTTATCTGGCTTTCTAGCCCCAATTATTGGAGCAAGCATGAATGAACTCCACTGTGCTGGAGATGGTAGGGAAGATAATGTGGAAGTCAAAGAAGTAATTTGGAAACCTTTTGGTGTGTTTGTTTGATTCTTTTACTAAGACTATTATGAAATACTTTGAATAAGCTGGCAAAGGATGGGAGAAGACGACCCTGGAGTGAAAAGCAGACTGATAGCATAAAGCAAGTTGGTGCTTTTCCCAGAGCATATGAAAAGGGTCATTTTTTGAGCATAATAAAGAATAAATGTTTATATTAGCTAGTTTTGACATCAGAAAGGGAGGGCAGACAAAGAACCCTCTTTAGAAATGCAGCAATTTGAAGCACCAGAAGAGTCTCCATAGTAAGGTCACCCACCCTCTTTTGAAGTAGCATTTCTAGTATGAAAGTTCTATAATAATTTATATTACAGTGCCTTTGTAATGCATCATCTTGAAAGGCCATATAACCTTAATTTTGTAGCTTCCTGGGTCTTTAGCACTTCTCTGGCCAGGAGCCCAGTGGTCACTGTAGTTTTTTGCATGCCAACAAACTATATTTTGTTGCAATATCACCAAATGCTTTGATTTCATGGAATGAGAAGGGGAAGGGGAAGCGGAAGGGGAAGGGAATAGAATAGAATAGAATAGAATAGAATAGAATAGAATAGAATAGAATATGGAATGGAGAAGGGAGAAGGGAGTAGAGTAGAGTGGAATGGAGTGGAGTAGAGTATAGAGTATAGAGTATAGTAGGAGTAGAATAGAGTAGAGTAGAGTAGAATAGAATAGAATAGAATAGTTCTTTATTAGCCAAGTTTGATTGGACTCACAAGGAATTTGTCTTTGATGCACAAGCTCTCAGTATACATACAAACACCAAAGTAATATCATCATCAAATACCAGTAGGAGTAGGAAAGGTGAGAAAGATAATAATAATCCAACCTTACTACGTGGGCAAATATCCTTAGATATAAGACAGCATTGTGGGAATTAGATGTTCAGCACAGTGTTGGCAAAAGGGAAAATCTGTCTAATTGCCTCATTTTGGCATGCAATGCCCTAAAGCAGCATCCTCAGGTGAAGAGTTGAAACAGTTTAAGTGCAGGATGTGAAGGATCTGTAGATATTTTTTCAGCCCTCTTTCTGACTTTTAAGAATACAGGATCTCAATGGAAGGCAGGCTGGTTGCAAGTGTTTTTTTCCCCCTGCAATCCTAACTATTCATTGAAGTCTGTACTCATCCTGTTTGGTTGCTGTAGCAAACCAGACATAGAAGTTAGTCAGCATTTTTCTCAAATTATTAGCTTTTTATTCCTCTGCAGTTTGGGACATGGCTCGTGTCTGTTAACCTCCATTCAAGAGACAAGCAAAGGGATTTTAATACTGGAGGTGGAAGTATAAGATGGCAAGACTTAGAGCTGGAACTTTTTCAGTACCAGTGTGATTTTTTTTTTTGCTAAACCACTGAAACTAACAAGTTTGTTCAGGTGCACTGCTGAGTTTAAAGTTATTATGGATATTCAGAGAGAGGTGAGAAAGAGTGTTTAGCATGGTGGTGAAAGCTTTTCAAATTCTGCAATTATAAGAAATGAAGTCATTTTGTATCATTTTACCAGACTTGAAATATTCGTTCATTTATCTCTCCCATCTATCTGTCTACAAGGGCTGATATATTGCTCCAATCAAAAAGAGCGGTTGAATATTTTGTATCTCCTCTTTGCTAAAAAGGTTAAAATAAAACAGTGCCACCAAATATCCATTAGCAATCACAACCGAAAGTTTCTATGTTGGAGGAACTTTTCAGTCATCTGAGCTGGTTTTAGTCCAAGTGCAAGAGACTTTTTAAGTTCTACACAGCCCACTTCCACGTTGTGCCAAGGTTAAGCATCTCTATGGGAAAGACGCTGGGACTTGATATCGTGTTTCCCTGAAAATAATCTTATTTTCTTTTGACCCCCACCAAAATAAACGCTTGGCCTTATTTTCAGGGAGGTCTTATTATTTTTGAGATGCAGGAGGCCCCTTAACCTTGCCCACAGATCAGCTGATCCAGAGAGGGCCAGAAGTTCTGTCTCTGTTTCTGGCACACTCTTGCCAGCCCTAGCATCGCTGGGCCTGCTGCTCTTTTTGAGGCCACCACTAAGAGAAGGGGTGAGGTAGCTAGGGTTTGTGGGAGCAGCCTCCACGAGACTGTTCCACGTGGATGGCAGGTGCATGTGGGGGTGCATGCAGCATGTTTCCCCCCCATTCCGCCCCAGGAAACTGTGGGGACCAGCTGCACATGCATTTAAATATTTTAGGGATGTTTTATTTTCAGGGGAGGGTTTATTGCAGTACATGCACTCAAAAGCCTGATTGGGCTTATTATCCAGAAAGGTCTTATTTTCAGGGAAACAGGGTAGAATAATACAGTTACCTAGACTAGAAAAGAAATGTCAAAAATTGAAGTTATGAGAGAACTTGGATCTTTGCAAAAGGTGTTTGCGTTGGTCATCGTGGGAAGTATGCACAACTCTTCTATGAGATCTGTTATTCTCTGAGAGAATTTTTTTTGATTGGAATCACATTCTTCTCCTATTTTGTCACTTTAAACTAGCAACCCTGGACAGTAAAGGAAGGCTGGACTCAAAGCCCTCCAAGATTTTATTTTACAAAAATCTGCTTTCACTTTGACCTACAAATATGGCCTTCTCTAACACCATCGACTGGCTTAAACATCCCACTGACACCCTTTCAAGCTCTGGACTCAGCTGGCTATTCAGTTCTGATGCTCTTTGTTTTCTTTTCCTCAGGTCGTCATGGAGATGGAGCCTATTGGCCCGTTGACACTAATTTGATTGACAGGAGCAGCCTCAATGGTAAATATGACTTAAAGCTAAATTCTTCCCTTTCGGTTGCCATTGGTTAATTCTGTCTGATCTGTCTGATCTGACTATTTTTTTTACCTTTTCTTCTCTCCCATTTCACCTTAGTGCCCCTTAGATGAGGCCAGTTTCAACTTTGGGAAGACTTCAAGTAAACTGGCACAGGAGTTCCTCTTAAATGTTAGAATGTGGGTTGACTGCATGGCTGAAATGGGCATGGAGATGGTTTTAACTGGTTCAGAGCTTAACTGTGGGGGTGGGCAATAACTCAGTGGTTAAAGACTGGTCTGCTGGAAAGCTGAGATCCTGAGTTCAAGACCCAAGCACCACATAACCTAACAGTTATGCAAATGTTAGTAGATTAATACTGTATTTCCCTAAACATAAGACACAATACAATATTATTATATTATTTTTTGCTCTAAAAGATGCAGTAAGATTTATTTTCTGGTTAGGTCTTTATTTTGGGGGGAAGTACAGTACTAATTGTGTCCGTCTGGCTGATGATCTTAACTGGGGCTTATTTTGGGAGCTGGGGTAGGGCTTATATTATAAGCATCCTGAAAAATCATGTTAGAGTTTATTTTCCGGTTGGGTCTTATTTTTGGGAAAACAGGGTAGATACACTTTGGTGGGAAGGTAACAGTGTGCCTTTGGAATATAGTCATGCTGTCCACATTACCACGGAAAATGTCTTCAGACAATGCTAGCTTCCTTGGCTAAGAAATGGGGATAAGCACCATGATCTAGAGTGTGACATATCATAACAGAAAAACCTTTCCCTTCAGCCCTTAACTAAAACATATTCACTTAAAGTCAACAGGCAAAGTCCTACTTAGTGGTCTTCTTAAAAGGATTTTACCAACATAGTTTGCAATATATTGCTTTTACTGATTTTTCTTTTCCATTTTTTCTCATTCCATTTCTCCATTTTCCCCCCTCCTTTATAAGGTTATCTACATCTAATTTTGGAACACTGATGGATAGTTGTGCTATCAACATCAATATCATGTTTATGATTTTTAAGCATTGTAAGACATTTTGGGTTTCTTAAAAGTAAAATAATGAACTTAGTTCTATGCATGTCTCTGCATATGTATTAATGAAATAGAGCAGTGGTGTCAAACTCAAGGCCCGGGGGCCGAATCCAGCCCATGGGGTGCTTAGATCTGGCATGCAGGCCCACCCTGGATACAGTGAAGGACCGGCCCATGGTGCCTCTGCCAGTAAAAATGGAGCTCAGAAAGGCTGCATGCAGCCTGCCTGAGCTCCGTTTTTACTGGCAAAAGGTTGCAGGAGGCTGGGAGCTCATTTTTGCTGACAGAGCACTCAGGCCACCACCAGCGCCCCCAACACAAGTGATGTCAAGCTGGCCACGCCCACCTCAGCCATGCCCACCCAGCCCCCCAAGGTCAAACATAACCCTGATGTGGCCCTCAATGAAATCGAGTTTGACACTCCTGAACTAGAAGATTTTAAATTTTATGACAATTTTTCATTATTTACTGGTATCTTCTTGTTATCAGCTGTGTCCCTTTTTGTCTTACTTTCCTTTTATATAGCTACTTACTCTGTTCCTTTAAATTGTTTAATAAACAAATTATAACACAATATAACACACCCAAAAAGCAAGCGTACTGAATTGTGACAGTCTATATGGCTGAACCATGTATTTGTGTGGTTGATGAATGTTAGGAGTTGTGGTCCCATCACATCAGGGTGGGAATAAAAATTGGGTAACCATATCCTGCTACATTATTTTCTGGCAAAGCAGGACACAGATCTACAGATCTGAATTTTCATTGCCCACACAATGGTAACTTTCTAATAAGGCTATATATTTATGATTATAGAAGTTCATAGACTAACTAAATCTCTGACCTTCACTTCATCTCATTTATGGGCATTCAGAATTCCAGCCATCTAAGACAAGTCAATATAACATAGTGCCTTATGTACATTCAAGAGGGCTTCCTTGGCAATTTGCAAAGCTGCTACTCACATAACATTTTGCATAGGTAACATAGCTGCAAGGAATGTTGATTCAGCCAACAACTTACTGCTGATTGCAGAGTAAAAAACAACAAGTAAACTTGCTGATTTGAAATATTGTTTGAATGTTCTTAATTAAGAAGATTTTGGCTTGACACCCGTGGCATACAAATTATTTGAAATGGAATGGAACATTTCCCTAAAAAATTAATTATTCAATAGATGTAGTTATTTTGGATACTGTTCACTAGGATGCTGTTCATTACAACATGGAAACATTTCACGGAGACACAGACTATTTTTAACAAGGATGTACATCCAAAGTTATCTTAATGAAGGACTTTCAAAACAGATTTTCAGATCAACAAGTCTTTGGCTATTCAATAGCTAATTGTTGGCCTAATCAAAGCTTCTATAAACTACAAAGAGTTTTGCAAAATCAAGAGTTTCATATGGCTACAGATAATCAGGAAAGCTCAAAGGGATGCAAACAATAAGCCATCTCCCCACATGTTACGATCTAGTATAGAATAAGAGTTGGAAGGTCTTCAAGTCCAACCCCCTGCTTAGACAGGAAACCCTACATCCCTTCAGACAAATGGCTAGCCAACATCTTCTTAAAAACTTCCACTGTTGGAGCATTCACAACTTCTGGAGGAAAGTTGTTCCACTGATTAATTGTTCTCACTGTCAGGAAATTTCTCCTTAGTTCTAAGTTGCTTCTCTCCTTGATTAGTTTCCACCCATTGTTTCTTGACATGCCTCCAGTCCTTTGGAGAATAGCTCGACTCCCTCTTCTTTGTGGCAGCCCCTGAGATATTGGAAGACTGCTATCATGTCATCCCAAGTCCTTTTTTTCATTAAACT